TATGTGAGGGCGTGAACAAGGCACAGAACTTTCAAAAAAATATTTTTAATTTGTCTGTAATAATTGCGTGCATCTTAAGAAAGATGATTCGTTGAAGGATACTAATTATTATAGTTTTTATTGATGTTTCTATATTTTCTTCTGTACTCGTTGATTTACTATTATATTGAGTTGTCATAGAGGTAGACTGGACAATGATTTACTCGTATAAATAGATAAAATCAACAAGCTCGGTTGAAAAATAATGTCGGATTTATACCTCAGACAACTTTTTTGTCAATTTGTATAATAAACGAAGAACAAATAAACTAACCTTGGTTTCGTACTCAACGCTTGCTTTGCTGAGGAACTTTGCTTTAAGCTTCTCTGTTCTTGTCAAAGCATTCATCCTTTCAACCTCTCCCTGTAACTCTGCTTCTCTCAGTGCCACAGCCTTGGTGGCCTCCACCTCCGCCACCTGCGCCGCCTTTTCCCACATAGCTTTTTTCTTAGCAAGCACAGAATTTGCCTCTGCCACCTCTGCTTGTCTCTCATTCTCAAACACCTTCACTTCAGTCCTCACCTTTATTCCCTCCTTCTCACCCTCTCCTTGCCTCCGTAACGATATGATTTTAGTCTCTGCATCAATTTTCGCAGCATTTTGAAGTGTTTGGCCTTCTCTCAGCTTCGATCCTATCTCCCCCTTCATTTTGGCCTCAGCCACGTCCACCTTTGCTTGGTTTGCAGCTTCCATTTGCGTCTTCTGACCCAAATAGGAGAAATACTCATGATCAGGCACATCAACTAGTTGCTTAACATTGGCGTTGTAAATCAAAAGCCCAAACTGGTTAAGCTCTAGCTGAACTTTCTCGAACACTTCCTGTTTAAACTGTTTGGTGCCTTTGAAAATCTCTTCCATTGTCATGGTGGCAGCGAGGACACGTGTCTCTCCCTCGATGATACCTTGAACAAGCTCCTTTACATGGTGAGAGAGCTTGTCATGAGGTGAGATGAGTTTAGCATATTTGAGAAGGCTCTGTTCGTCGTCCACTCTGGGTCCGATTGTGAAGACCGCAGGAAGCACGAAAGGTAGCTTTTCGGCGCTCATGGCTTGAACTTCGAAGGTGTAATTAACTGGAGAGAGGTCGAAAACGGTGTATGCCTGGCCAGGGAGAACCCATGCTTTCTTTGCGAGTTTTATGTCTTTGATCCCAACTCCAGAGATAACTAGGTATTCGGATGCATTTGCTACCTTAAACATGGTTTTGGTTTTGGTGTTATGACAGAAGCAACCAAAGAGTTGCACTGAGTATTAATTAGTGATTGCTTGCCCAAGTCTATCTATATATATGTTTTTCAATTAGTGGTCATATTTATTATAAATTATGTTATAAAAGATATTTTTATCTCCAACGTACAAATAAATAAAAGTGTGTAAGACTATATAAAAAAAAAAGAGAAAAATAAAATATGAGTTCACAAACTTTTATAAGTATATAGAAAATAAAATTCATCTCCCGTAACATATAAAAACATTAATTCCATTAAATATTGTTACAAATCCTGCAGGCTGTTAAATCTTAACACAACCAATCATTTCCTCATAATACAGATTACATGTGGAAGAGGGAGGGAGATAACGATCAAGATTTTATGAAAATTGTATTAATTATAAGCAAAAATAATCACTAATATATTCTTATGCATTTTGACTTTGTATTAGGGTTGGCAAAACGGGTCAATCCGGTCCAACCCGCATGTAACCCGAAAAAACTGAGTCGGGTTAAGGTTGGTTCAAAAAAAAAAAAACACGAGCTAGAAAATCAAACACAACCCAACCCGACCCGAGTCAGGTTAGGGTTGGCTCAAAAATATGGCTCGTGGGTTGGCTTGAAAAAATTGCTCTCGAGTTGGCTCGAAAATTGGCTTGCGGGTTGGCTCGTTTTCAGCCTATTTAAATGAACCTGTAGTATTAATGCACCGGCTATGTGGCTTCCATCAGCTTAAACAAAGGGTTACAAAATGAGAAATAAAAGCAAAATATTCTAGTTTTGATTTTTCTTCACAACAAATTTGCACCAACATCAAGAAACAATCAGAACCACTTGCTACCAAGTGGGTAAGATATTTGAATCAAACAAAGCCAACATAGACTAATAATATAAAAATGGCAGGAATTTGAGAAGATTAGGGACTTAGGTTTAGAGAAGGGAGAAAGATGATGACAGCATGTGTAAGTTTTGTCCATTTTTGTATATTATATTTTGTATTTTTTATGAGAAAAAAAAACTCAATCTGCGAACTGGCGCGTTTGATCTGCTGGTTGGCTCTTTTTTTCTCAAGCAGAGTCGGGTCGGATTGGCTCGAGTTGACAGCTCATTTTTGTCAACCCAACTTGACTCATTTTTAGCGGGTTACTAGCCAACCTGACGGGTTGTATTTTTGCCAACCCTACTTTTTATAATTAAGTGAGACTTAGTTGGCATTCTCAGCAAACAAGTGAATCGGATAAATGCAATTAGATAGTGATATTTTTTAATTTTAATAGAATATATGCTAAGTCCTCAGCGTACGTTGTTGGATAACTAGATATTTATTCATTGTTCATTTTCTGACTACATGTAGGAAGTTGCATGCTAGCTTCTTGTTGCTCAGCTTGGTCAGAATATTTTTTAGCTTGACAGCTACGAAGGGGAGATTATATATGCGAGAAATGCCAGTCAAATAATTTATGTGTTTGTATGTATTTATGCTTCTCAAAGAAACTTTATACGTTGACGAGGAAGTGCTTGTAGGATTAGAATGAATACAACGGGAAAAAAATGTTTTATCAGAGCAGGTTAATTAATTAAGCAAATTAATTATCAATTATATCGAACAAATTAAAAATTAACTTTTGAGCTTCGATTCACGGTAGCTTGTATCTCCAATCTCCATGATAATAAGATAAAAGTGTGTATTATTTTAAAAAATGTAAAGTTGTGTCATTTTAAGTGAGAGAAAGAGATAGATAAAGAAAAAAAGAGTAAATAAAAAAATATAAAGGTGTAGATCCTACCTTTTGTGAGAGTGAAATGACACAAGTTGTGTCATTTAAAAGGACAAACATTTTTCTCTAATAAAAATTAAAAACGCCAGTTGGACTCTGCGTCATTAATTTTTAATGTTAATTAAGTTTCCTAAAAAAAGCAGTCTGTCAATTGATTTGAAAAAAGAACAGAAGAGAAGACAACAACTCGTCGATCAATTATCTGTCACTTGTTTGGGATTATTTGCTATTAAGGATAAAGATATAGGAAAATAATTTGTTTACGTTGTAGGAAAATGATTAACTCATATTATATAAACAAAATTAAAAGTGAGATCTACATGTAAAAAGAGAGAAAAAAGAAGAAGATGAGACTCGTCCTTTTTTTATATGTGTAAAAAAATTTGTTTATCTGATACAAAATAAGATAAATATAATCCAAAGACAAATTATGTGATAATACGCTTCCGTTGTCTCTTTTTTGGCTTTTTTTTTTTTGTCTTATTTGGAGAGGAATTTCCATGGTACTTGATAAGTGTGTTAAAGACACTATATTTTTAATATAAAAAATATTTTAAATAATGATTAATATGATTAATAATATAGTGTTAATTAATAAATCCCAAAAGATATTAAAATTCCAACAACTATATAAGATTTTAATCCCTTTTTATACTGTTTCACGTTTAAAGTAACAAATTACTAATCTAATGGGCAAAGGCAGATGGGATCGGTTGGGAGTATAAAAATTAAGAAAGTAAACAATTAATAAAAATTAATTCTTGCTCGCTTCAGCGAGCCAAGCAAGCGAGAAATTAAAAACTCTCGCTCTGCCTATGTTACACCGACACTGATAGAGGTGTTTATCAACTGATCCAAACCGATTTAAATCGCGGTGATCGAACCGAAAAATCGATAGCCGAAAATCGAAAAATCGATAATCGAAAAAAGAAAAAAACCTCAAATTTTAATTGAATTGGATCGGTTTTCGGATTGGTTGATGAAAATCGATCCAATATATTAATTCCACTCTACCTACTTGGGCCTTTCCCCAATCATAGCCCAAAAATTTCTAAACCCAAGACTCATCAACCTATAAACTATACCTAAAAAAAACTAGTCACATCTCATAAACAAAATTTCATCTGTGTAGAGCTTCATATCTCATTGCCAAAAAAAAATTATTTTATCATTTACTGATGCTTTTGTATTTAATTTTTTTTTTACAAAGCCAATATATACAAAAGATGTTATTTGCACAATAATCATGAAACAAATTTTAGGATTTTCAAAAAATCGAAAACCGATCCAATTCAAACTGAAAAAAATTGGATTGGATCGGATCAATTTTGAAAAAAAATCCAAACCGAATGGATGATTACATGATCAAACCGAATAGATTGGATCAGATGATTTTGCTTCCAAAACCGATCAAATCCAGACCGCGAACACCCCAAGACACTGACACAGGACACGAAACATGATACGCCGACATGTTAATTCTAAATAATGTCATATTCCAACACGTTGGAACTAGGGGTGATAAACGAACCAGGGGCATTTGACTCGGCTCGTGAAGGCCTGAGCTTATATGCCTAAATTTGATTGTTATAACCAGGCTTGAACTTGTATAAAAGTTCGTTTAATAAAAAGGCCTTAGGCTTCAATTCAAAAATTCGACCTTAGAGCCTCTCAGGCTGGCCTAGTATAATAATTTTTATTTTTATTTGATATTTTTATACTACTTGTAATAGCCTTATCTCTCTCCTCAATCCATTTCTCCCCATTTTATTGGTTAAACAAACTTTTCGAATGATTTTATTCTATATTATGCTGTTTGGATATACATTGAATTTATGAATATTTATGGAATTACTAATGTTATTGATTGTACATTCTGTTTGGATAAATTTTTATTATCTTATTTTTTTAAAACAGACTAACAGACTAAATCAGGCTTTCATTTTTTGTAAATAAATCAGGCTAGAGGCCGATGGTTATATTCATAACAGGTAATAAGCTTGATCAGGCTGACATATCTAAACACAGGCTTAGCCTTTTAAGACCAAAGCTCGGCTCGACTCGGCCTGTTAACACCCCTAGTTGGAACACGTTTTGATATTAAATAATATTTTTAATATATATAATATAATTTATATTTAATATATATATAACAGCCCATAATAAGTCATATATCCGATCAAATATTCAAATTTTATAACATAAATATAAACAAAAATAATTTTTTGCACCTTGTTAATTTTTCATGTCAAATTTCATAATAAAAAAAATTAATTTATAAATTATTTTTTCATGTTTAGTTAATAAAATAAAATTTAGTTCTAAAAAAATGTGTCAAAGCGTTACTAAGTGTCGGAAAAAGTTGACTGCATGTCAAAAAAACGTGTCGGAATGTGTTGAAGCATTGACCGTGTGTCCTAAAATGTTGACCGTGTGTTAGAATATTTAAAAAAATTGTGTCTGTGCATCGCATCGCTATATAACTCGCTCCAGCGAGCTCATCAACTAGGAATTAAAATATGTTTGCTGAGCAGCTCGCTTCAGTGAGGTGGTCCAAAAATTAAAAACCCAAATTAATTCTTTAAAAAGACGAGACGAGAGCTGTGTGATTCATTCGAAAGACAAGGCAGAGGAGCGCCTCGGGAGACACTGCAGAGGAGAAGGAAGAAGAGAAAATCAAGAAATCACCGTGGAGTTTACCTGCTAAGTTTTATGAATATTTATAGTTCCTGTTCATCTTTTAATTCTGATTCCATGATTATGCAAGGCTAAAATTCTTTATGCAGTTAAGGCGAGAGAGAACCAAAAGTTCTTGAATGCTATTTAATTTTTGATGCAACTATTATTCGTATTTTAATTATACAATTAATCTATTTTATATTCATAGTCATGTTCAGCGTGATATGTGTATGCATTTTGTGGTCTCAGAACAAAATAAAGTAAAAATCACAAATAAGTTTTAATACTTATAATTTATATTATTTTATATTTGCGTTTTATTCAGCGTAAAATGTTAATTTGGTATTTTAACATTTCAGGAATATTATATATTTCTAATAAATCTTATTTGTTAGTTAAAATAACATTTTGAAAATAAAGTAAAAACACTTAATATCTTAAAAACTCAAAAAAAAATCTAACATTTAATTGTTCAAGTAATCAATAGAATTGTTATGTTAATTCAGGAATATATAATTGTTCTTATGGATTGTGATAATGTCTTCTAATAACATTATTTTTTATTAGATCATATCTTATATATTTATGGTTAAGAAAAAGGGAAAAATATATATATATATCTTAATACATTCATTTTATTATTAGTTTTCAATAAGAAAAAAGTGTAAACCACTTGAGAGAAAGAAACATTTTTCAAAGTGATATGTTTTTCCTTCTGTTTAAGCATATAAAGGAGGGGAAAAAAGGCTGATGCAGAAAAACCAGCAGAGGCGATGGTCCACAATTGCATTAAAGTCAAAAGCGGCACAGTAAGAGTAATATGGGAAATTACGTTGGGGAACGAGCCCAATCGATTCACTTTACCCGCTTTCTAAGGGCCCTATCTCCATTTTGGTTTACATCTCACCATTCACTCATCTTCCACTTTTGACCATTGCCACACTCTAAACGGGAAATCAGCCCCGTCCTCAATTTATAATTCTCGTTTATTTATATTTTTTCAATTATTCGTTAATTCTTGTTTCCTAAAGTATAAATTAATTTTAAAACATAAAATTTATATAAACAAATGAAAAAAAACAAAACATACATGTATAAATTAGTACATATAAAAAATGTGAGTAATATTTTGTTTATTTCTTAGATAAAATGCTACCTTGTTGTTTATGTTTTATATAACAGATACATTATTAAATTGAATTGTTAACGGTGATATGTTTTGATTATTAATTTCCCGGCATACGGTAATGGTGGGGTATGCCGTAATAGAAACGAGGTTAATGTCCAACACAGCCCGCCGATATTTTCGAACAGTTAACTCTTTCTTCTCTCTCTCTCTCTCTCTCTCCCACACAGTCATTTGCCAGTTGCAGTGAGTGAAGAACACAGACCAAACCAAACCACTCTTTCCCTTTGAACTCACATTCACTTTATCTTCATTGCTCGCTCTCATATAATGTCCAGTTACCGGCCACTGCTATTTTGTTTTGTGGTCACATTTTTCTTATTTCACTCTTCCACTTCATTTTTGTTCTCACACGAAGCATCTTACTTACCAGCTGTCACGACACAACTCGCTTCAGGTATTCCACTCAAACCTCTCTCTCTCTCTCTCTGTTGTCTTTCTTCTCTGTTTGGGCATCCCATGAAGCTAAAACAAGTCTTTAATTGGAACAACTGTTGTTATTGTTCGCTCAGTTTAACTTCTAAGTTCTAAAACTTCAAAAAAAAAAAAAAAAAAAAACAGTATGACACAAATGATTGTTGCTATCCTCATACCTTCCTTAACTTTTTAATCATTATTCTTATTTTTTTATTTATTTTTTGCTGATGTGAAAAGATGAAAAGGTTATACCGCATGAAGATGTTTCGGTAGAAAGCATGAAACTTTCTTTCTTTCTTTCTTTTTATTTCTAATTTCCAGGGCCAGAAAATGAGGGAAATGCTGTAGGCTTTTATGGGGTGACTAGGCCTGGAAGGTCTCTTGTGGATGAAATTGCTGCTGAACCATTCGAGAACTCACCTTTTCCCTTAGCTGCAGAGCGAACACGAAGAAAAGACCCTCTCGACGACTTCACAAAGTACACAAACGGATGGAATATCAGTGACCACCATTATTGGGCTGTAAGCTTATCAAACCGTTAGTCTTTTGTGCTGTAATAGTTTTATAGTAGTCTTAGCACTGTATCTCGTTAATTGTGGCTGTTAAGTATCAAAATCTGCACAGTTTTGGGACTGGCATCACGAAATTTCGGGTATCATTTTAGATTATTTGCCAAAATATGGAACTATTGTAAAAGTCACTAATTAAGATTCATTCTTGCCTTTGAAAGTATATGGAATAATAACTGTATTGTTCAATTATATTAATACCTTGACTAGTATGTGGCTCTAAGCAAACTGTAAGCATCTAGATAGGTGTTAGTAAACTTACATTTGAACATTCCATGGCATGTAATCTTAATTAAAAGTTAATATTTATCTATGACGCTATGGTCATAGTATCCTTTATCAATTAGTTTTATAGGATGAGGCATGAAGCTATCATTTTGTGTTATTCATAGAAAAAAATAATTGAGGTACTGACTGGTCCCGTACTATGCTGCAAATTTAATTGTTTGAATTTAAGTTGGCCTGATTAGATGATAGTTTGAGTGATGACAGCTCATTTCTGACTTTCTGTTGTGTATATTTCCTTTGTTTTAATTTTATTTCTTTCAATTTTTAGTACTTCACTCCAATCTATAGAATTACTAAGCTTTTTGGTTAGCTCTGCAGTATTGAATTTCAGAAAAACAAAGTGCACTGATCTTTTTTCTTTTTTGAATGCAGTCTGTGGCATTTACTGCAGTTCCTTTGTTCAGTGTTGCAGCAATCTGGTTCCTGGGCTTTGGCTTGTGCCTTTTGATCATCATTGTTTGTTACTTCTGTCGTCAAAGAGAGCCTTATGGTCATTCTCCAACATGCTATACTCTTTCCCTTATTCTCCTGATAGTATTCACATTTGCAGCAATGTACACATCTCTCTCTGCCTTTGTTTTCCTGGTTTCGGGTTTAAGTTGGATTTGTATTATAAATTACATGTCTTTCTGTGTTAACAGGATTGGATGTGCAGTTCTCTATGTTGGGCAAGGAAGTTTTCATAATAGCATGACATCTACATTGCAGTATGTCGTACACCAAGCTGATTCTACTGTGGATAAACTTAGGAATGTGTCGGATTATCTTGCTCAAGCTAAGCAGGTTGGAATCGATCGAGTTTTTCTCCCTACGAATGTTCAAACTGATATTGACGAGGCAGAAACAAATATCAATGCCTCCGCTAGCACACTTGCTGATCAAACAAAGGAGAACTCAGACAACATACAAGATCTCTTAGATTCAGCGTAATGATTGATTATTAGGTGTTTCGCTCTAGACACTTGGTTTTTTTTTTGTTTTAATTTTTGCTCTATAACATGATTACCGTGAAACTGATACAGGAGGCTGGCGCTTATCATAATAGCTGCTGTTATGCTAGTCTTAACATTTCTTGGATTTTGTGAGTCCCTTCTATGTCCCAATTTACATGCAAAATCTCTTACTTGTGCTATTAATTTATGTTCTTACTTGTGACTACAGTGTTCTCAATTTTTGGCATGCAGCTCCTTGTGTATATGTAAGTGAGATATACTGTGCACGACCTACTGTTATGTGTTTTTGTGATTCTTTGTTAGCAAACATGACTCCGCTTATCATCATATTTTCTCATGAAACACTTTGACATGAATAATTGCAGCTTGGTAATCGCAGGATGGTTTCTTGTTACTGGTACCCTTATATTATGTGGCTTGTTCCTTCTTCTCCATAAGTAAGTTCCCCTCTCACTCCCCTAAAATAGTCAAAATAAATTCAATGGTTTTGCCATATATTTTTATAGATGTCTTGCTGATAGCAAGACATTATTAGTATTATTCGGTCATGCCAGCCTTGAATTTTAAATATCTCTTAATAAATCTCTTGGAGAAATCATGTTAAAGTTAAGGTTTTGGTCTAACCCTGATTTCCCACCATATAAAGTTTTATCAGATGCGATCTTAAGAATGTGCATGCTACATTTTTCCTTTCCTTTTTCTTTTCTTTTTTTCTTTTTTTCTTAAGATGGGGAACTTGTCATTTAAATGTGAAGCTAATCCTTTTTTGTTTTGCATTGCTAGTGTGACAGCAGACACTTGTGTAGCTATGAATGAGTGGATCCAATATCCCACTGCAAATACAGCTCTGGACGATATTCTACCCTGTGTGAACAAGGCCACTGCACAGGAAACAATGTTACGAAGCAAAGAAGTAACTTCTGAACTAGTCAATTTGGTCAACCAGGTTATTACCAATGTCTCCAACATAAACTTCGCCCCCAATTTCACGCCACTGTACTATAACCAATCTGGTCCCTTAATACCGCTCCTCTGCAATCCATTCCATCCTGACATGACGGATAGACAATGTGACGCTGGTGAAGTGGGCCTAAACAATGCAACACAGGTAGATTAATTGAACCTTCATAAAACATTGAAACACTATTTCTTACATGGGTTGGGTTCATTAAATATATATTCTGACCCACATGTCACAACTGTAAGTCCCTGTGAAGGTCTAAGATGCTCATTTTCTATTTTTTTCATTAAGACTAATCTCATGAGCATCATCTGAGAGTTATGTTGATCTTAATATCTGATGCAGGTGTATAGCAACTTTGTGTGCCAGGTTTCACCATCTGAGATATGCATGACCCAGGGGCGTTTAACTCCTAGCTTCTACAATCAAGTATCCGCTGGAATAAATGTGGGTAACGCCTTGTATAATGATGCTCCGTCCCTGGTTGAGCTACAAGATTGCACCTTTGTTCGGGAAACTTTCAGTGATATATATAGGGACCATTGTCCTGGTCTACAACGTTATAGTAGATGGATCTATATTGGATTGGTAATGGTCTCTTTTGCTGTGATGTTTTCCTTGATCTTCTGGGTTGTGTATGGAAGAGAACGGAGACATCGTTTATATACAAAAAAGTTGAAAGACTTGACTCCTGCACCAGCAACAGATCAAGCACTAGCACTAGCCCGGATCCCTGAAGGGGACAAGGATAATTAAAAATAAACTCATTCATATTGCTCTTCCATTACTAGAAGTTGGTGGATTGTGAACTAAGTTTAGCTTTTCCTAGTGTTGGTTGGATGATGTTGTAGCTTCTTTGTAATGTCACTATAGTACGAGATTTTAATGAAATATCATTGTATTACATGTCCTTGAAAAGGGGAACGAGGACGAGGATGTGGAGCCTAAATATGAGACCAAGCCCGCAGGTCATATAGATTTTGGACACTGTTTGTTTGGAGCAAACCCACGATCAACGTAAAGGTAACCCAACATGTCCCTCAGAATGTATGAAAAGCTTGATTAGTGAATAGTGTACCCAACTTGACAACTCTCTGGCCAGGTCCCTTTCATTTTTAGGGTGTCAAGCGTTAACAAAATGCTAAGAAATACGTCATGTTCTGTTGATACGTTAGCCGAGTCCCCACCTTTTGGGCCCATGAGCAAGCCCACAAGAAAATGAAGATATGAAAAGAAATTAATAAATATTTCAGAAAGAGGGAGTGATGGGAAGACCGGAGTCTCTATTCTAGATTTCTAGTTTATTTTTCCAACCTAAACTTCATTTTTTTAACACATAAATCTTCTAAACTACTGTGAAAAGCAAAAGGTAATGTAGAGAAAATTGTACCAAACTGGTTAATTCGACTGAAAATCGATGAATTAGTCAGGTGTCAAGTTCATTTAAACAAAAAAAAAAAGTTGATTAGGGAATTGGTGGAGTACTGTTGAAACGATCCAAGATCAGTGAAAACGGGTAGAAAGCTAATGGTGCATGATCAATTTCAATTTATTTTTTTTAATTTATCAAAAATGATTTTTTAGCAAAATAAATGCCTAGTGCCAAGTTATATAGGTTCTCGTATGTTACTCATGCATGGAGTGTTATTATTTAGTCTTTTATCATGAATTTTTTTTTTATATTGGAAGACATATAATATGATCATCTCATTATTTTAAAAAACAATCTAATTATGTTTGCTTATGATTTTATATTAATTTATTACCTAAACATTTTATAATTTTAAAAATAGTGAAAGGATCAATTTATATCTGTTTAAAAATAAAAAATCTTATCCATAATATTATTGTTGATCCACTTGTATCCAATGACTTGATAACTTAAGAATCAAAATTAAGAGTGTAACATAACCTAATGTACAAATTTTGTACCTCTTAAAAATATATATTTAATAAGAACTAGCGCAACCAGGACACAATAACGATCGAATTATTAAACAGTGAACCAATATCTTAATCAATTTAATAATTAGTCCGTTTTTTTTTTTTTTTTTTGTAGAGATGACCCTTCCATTTAGATGAGACTAGCCCCTTTGTAGCATAGAGAGCAAAGAATTTTGTCACTAACCCCAAATTAATTTGTCTACGAAACAAACCAGACACCTTTCAGTCCCAGTTGTCTTCTCTTTGGATACATTGATTAAAACTTAACTATGTATTTTCTATCAAATTTAACAGTACCAATTCGAATTTGAGAAGTAGAATAATATTGGTTTTTTTGAGAAGCAAGTAAAATTTAGTTCATAGGGTTTTTCATGTGCTTCTTACTTGCAAACTCTCCCTGTTAAATTTGATAGAAAATTCAAGATTACACATTTTTACCAAAGCTAAGGGAATCTTGTGTTATAAAATAAAGTTTAGGATGAATAACACTCATTTATGTAACTTCTATTTAAAAAAAGAGAAATATTTTTCTCATTTCATTAGAGATAGTTATTTATGTTATATATTCATCGAATTTTGTGCCAATTTTTTTTATTTCTTTTTCTTTTTGTTTTAAAGTGTGGACACTATATATTTATCTCACACACGAGAGAATTATCTTAAGCAACATGAGATTAGTAACTCCCTTTAAAAAATTACATTCTTCTTCCTAAGGGTGTGTGGTGACCCAAATTGGTTTAAACAGGTTCAACTCAAAGAGTCGAAATATTTTATTTAATCCAAATTATTCTGAACCGGTTCGAAAATATTTCGGAATGTATTTATATTTCAAAACCAATTTATAATTTATACCGGACTTCGAACTTATTTTCCAATCAATTATCTTGCTTTGATCCAATTTTTTAAATTGGTTTATAAAATCCTTTTGATTCATGAAATTAGTTAAAAAAACAATTTAATTTGATTCGGTCATTCGGTTCGGTTCCTTTATTTAACTTGATCCTACTTTTTCCGTAAAGATGAAATGTGCTACCTGTGTGTACATTTATGAACAAGCTTCTCAACAACGTTTTTTCTTTCACAACAGCTTTTAGGGCATGTTTGTGAGTTTACGAAAAAAGTGTTTTTTATACATTAATTATTTCAGAAGTACTTTTTATAAAAGCTAAAACTATTTAGATTTTTAAAAAATTATTTGGGTTTTAAAAAAAATATTTGACTTTTGAATTCTGTTTTTTGTAGAAGCTAAAATTTTTAGCTTGCAAAAAAAAGTAGATTTTTGATTTTTTTTGTGGCTTATATTTTTTTTTAAAGCATACATCCAAACTGACTTTATAATAGATGTGCTTTGTTTTTAAAAAAAAATCCATCCAAAATGGTCGCTTAACTTTACCAACAATTAGTTTTTAATACCATATTATTAATTTGAAGACTTTAGATATGGAATGAAGTTTTAAACAGTCCTCTCGAACTTCACCCAAAAATTTATTTCATGTTTTAAATTCCAAAGTCGATAGTAATGGTTTGAGAGTAACGGCCAATGTCACTAACACTAAGAGTAGGGGAGAAAGAAAAATTATCCCAATAAACTTGTTCATAATAAAATGCAGGAAAATTATTTGTGTTTTTATTGGAGAAATATTTTATTTGCTCCACTCACATAAAAGTGGATGGGCTCTATCAAAATTTTCTTTTACTTTTTGAATAGTGAGATTTACTCATTTTCATGTGAACCTGATAGATAAAATATTTTTACAAATAAAAATAAAAAAATTAAACCCTCGAATAAATTAACGCGACACATATAGTAGTCTCAATTAAAATGTAACTTTCATCTACCAATAAAAAATGTAAGTTTTCAAAAGAAAAGAAAAATAATATAATTTAAGCATCTCTCGAGCTTCTATAATTGCTAATCGCATATCCATCAAAGCATCGAAGAAACAAAAAAAAGTTTAGCTTCAAATCAAAGCTATTCGCCTAACCAAGTTGATAAGAATTTTTGCATTAAAATATGAAAAATGTATTCCACCAAGGTTAGGCGTATCTTCCAACAGCAATTGATACAAAGATCTGGGGCCCGCCATTATTAAGGAATGGTGAATTCGTGAAGAAGATTCTCGTTTTGTATCTGAAAATCTTCTGTTGTACCACATTCGGGTTGTAATTAGGAGTAATGTTCCTCAAAGGCAAACAACAACTAAGTTTTAATTTAGGGAAAATATAGTCTTATGTTGTAGGAGAGTGTGTTTCTCTTCTACATATACATTAATTTTTGTATTATTCTTTTTTTCTTTTTTTATAAGTGAGTGAGTTCCACACAAGATTGTCTCTATAACATGAGAGAACTTCTCTCCTATTATATAAGATTAATAAAGCCTTTTAATTTATACTTGTGGTTGTGGTTGTTGGAATTGGTTGATGATAATTACAGAGTGTCTATAATTAGTTGTGCTTCAATTATTTCTTGTTTGTTTGGTGATAACTAGGTGGTTAAGTGATTGTGAATTCCCTAATTTGTATGGAAGAACCAAATAACTACATGAGTAGAGGCATGAAGTTTGCTTTTTGCATTATCATAACACCAATACTTTCATTTCGTGTCCGCGAAAGTACTTTTTTTATCTAAAAAACAAAACAATCCTCATAAATTTTTTGTACTGCTTTAACCATAATGCAATCCTATTTTGTGAAATACAATGCATTATAAATTGTTTTCCCTGAATAAAAATGAATTTAGCTATTTTTCAATTGCTAGTAGAGTATAAAATTTTATACTACCATTTAATCATGTATAATGTATTGATATATTATTTAACAAGTTTGACCTTCAAGTACTCAAGTTTATTTTTATGACGTCGTGGTGATTCGTCAATAAGTATTAATATAACATGTTTTACATTGGTGATACATTAAAATAATTTTGAATATAAATATAAAAGCTGACTTGATTAAAAAGTTAAGATGTAAACCTAAATAAGTTGAGATACTAATTATCTAAGTACTTAGCATCAAGTTATAAATATTTTTAGGGTTTAGTGTATGTCATTCAAAAGGACACAAGTTGTGTGCTTTTATTGACTTACACAGAGTATGACCGGTCATACTCTGTGTAATTCTGAAAAGTTTTTTTTTTCACTTTACACGTCAGCGATGTGACTGATGAAAGAGAAAAAAAACAATTTTTTATATTTGCACAAAGTATGACCGGTCATACTTTGTGTAAATCATCTAAAATAACACAACTTGTGTCCTTTTAAATGATAGTTTTTTCCCCATGTTTTTATGAACACTTTTTTTTTTTTTTAGATTTCGACCGGTGTCTGAATTCAGATTTGTGTCTCTCCATACTTCTTAGTATTTGGAACTCTTAAAATTTGAACCATTTAACTTTTAGACAAGTCTAATTCTAGGGTCTAACTGATTTCTACAAGACCAACAATTCTTGAGTTTTATAATCACTTATTTTATAATAAATAATATGTCTTTGACTAAATTGAAAAGGTATATTAATTAAAAGTGATTAACGTTTCTCCTGTCATACGAGATAAAATTATATTCTGAAACTCAGAATAATATTATTTTGGAGTTTAGAAAAAATAAATAAATGATATTTGAGTAAAGTATATTAATAATTTTTACGTTATCTTTTAGTCTTATTCCAAACCAGTTTATGCAATACGCAGGCTTTTCATAATTCATTAAGACTTTGTTTGGGAGTTGGTTTTAGGAGGGGAAGAAAAGAAAATCGAGGGTTTTAGTAAACCCTTATTTTGTTTGTGAGTTTATAAAATAAGGGGAAGAAATTAGAG